GTTTCAAGCTTGTGTAACTCATCGACATCTCACACCGAAAACCCTAGGAGGAAAAATACCCTAGGTGGGTAAGCTTGGTGAGCACAATGACTTGGAGGGGTAGTTGGTGTGCCCCCTGACCATGTAATTTTAGGATGAAATTTAAAATGTCTGCTTGTATTTGACGTTCACCTACCCCTCGAAGGACAGAAAACGTCAAAGTGTATACTTCTTTGCTACTCACCTGTCCTTCGAAGGACAGGGGGTACCAAAGAGAGGCAACTGTAGACACCCCATTTTAAAACTAGAAAATTCTTTGGTTTTCTGAACCTTTAGGATCACACTTAACCTAGTAAACCTAAACCCAGAGTTCACAAAACCTATCTTGTGACTCGAAACCAATCTGCCTGCCCCTAATTTCCGTAAATGCCTTGTTTTACCAAAAAACTCATTAAAAATAGTAAAAAAATCCTTTTTGACCCAAAGGTTTTTTGGTAGCTTCACAAAAGGCTAAGGAACACACCCATGTTGAAAAATGTCAAGTTTGGAAACAGTTTGACTTGGGCGACACTAGCCATGTCGCCCAGCCCCCCCCAGCGAGTCCATTTTGCCCAAAAGTTGAAATTTTCTCCTTTTTAGAATTTTTTGACCTTTTTTTTAGCGACACTAGGCATATTGCCCGGGCGACATGGCCAATGTCGCCCAAATCCGTGACCATGACCAAGGGATTTGTTTATTACATGTGTGCATATCTTTCCTAACGGATTTTGACCTCTATAACGCCTCTTTTCGTGGTCATTTGACGGGGGGTAGAGGTTAGAAACCTTAGAGAGCCACAGAAGATAGAAATCTTAGAGAAAAACTCAGACATAAAACCATAACCTAACGTAAGCCTGAGATCCCTAGTTCTAATCTATTTCTAGGCACAACCACCCTATCCAATCAAGACTTGCTGATCGACATCTCGATAAGAGAGGCAAATAGGACCGTTCCTAATATGGCAAGCCCTCAAGGGCTTGAGAGTCTCGGGCCATCCAGCCCGGTTTGGTATCATTTATCTCTCTTTCTTTTACTTTCTGTCACTACTTTCATTTCATTTTTGCCTTATTTGAAACAGTTTGCTTTAAAAATCGTATTTTGTATTGTCTTGGATCATGCTGGAGCTGCCACAGATCTGAGAGTAAATCTACTCATTTCTTACAAATCTGACCTCATATCCGAATTCGATTTTTCCTACTTTCTTTACCACTTTATTTTCTTATATTTTCACAAGTTTAAGGTGACATATTCCAGAGATCTTCACCAGATAGATCTGTTAGATTTTGCATCGTAAATAAGGACTAGGGTACTGAGCCTTTTAACGCCATGCGATTAAGATGTGTACTACAGTTTAGGGTCATATAATCTGGACCTATGCAGTTTAAGGTCATGCAGCTACACCTCCGCTATAATTTATGGTCGTATAGTCTGGACCATGCAGTATAGGGTCATACACTTAGACCAAGGATGTGCCATTTAAGGTCATGCAGCGCGGACCAAGGCTGTGCAGTTTAAGGTCATGCTGCACGGACCAAAGCATGGGTCGGCATGTGTGTGATGCTGCATGGGGAATAGGTCTGTAGATGGGAATCTGTCTTCTTGAGGATAAAATGGTTACGTCCAACAAGGGGTTCAAATGTGACGACCGACTTCATTGGGGATAATGGGAATAAGTGTCGATCCCTTATAGGTGAAAAATGGTACTCGACTCCAGGATAACTAGATGTGAGACAAATCCACTGGGGGTTACAGTGGTAAAAAAAAAAGACCCTAACTCCACTGGGGATAATGGGTTGCAATAATGCGTATGACTCCTACAGAGGATGAGAAGCCATGGCCTGAGTTAGACGACCCGGATGTCACTTTGCTGGGGATAATAGGTCACGATTAGGGTGTAACTCTTAGTCAGACACACAATAGTCGGACGACGCTCAAGTTTAAAAAATGTAGCCAGTGCTGAGGGAAGTTGTGTTAGCTCTTGAACTCTGAGTTGCTGAGAACACAACCGGCGTTGACGCCTAAAACGTAGCCGGCGCTGGGCAGTTTCGATCACAAAGCTGATGTTAGGTGTGGGTGAGCGTTCAGGCCCTAACCCGAGGCTGACCCAGTCCTGGTCTTTGTTGCATGGGATTTCATAGGCGGTAGTAAAACTTTGCTCGGGCCTTGGGTCAGAGCCCGACCCGATCTGGCCCATCATCGTTTGGCCTTCTTGGACGAGGCTTAGATTCCTGATTTGTAAGGGAAATTTGAGGGAAGCTCTGCTATAAAAAAGGGGGTAACCTCACATTTTCACTGTTTCACGAAAGACATAAGGTAAAAAATTTTGGTTTAACAATGAGGGTGAGGTTTTTGATTAGAGCTTTGACAAACACACAGGGGACATCGGCAAGGGTTAGCTGGAGCTTGCCAGCGAGTCGGGGAGATTTCAGTCATGCAAGGAGATGCTTGGGAGAAAGGAGACAGGATTTCGCCAGAGTTGTAGGAGTTTCCCGGCAGCACATGGAGTTTTTCCAGGAAACAGGTAAACTTCGGCTGTGATTTTTTTAACGAAGGGAAGAAGGGGCTAAAATTGTAGTAGAGGTCTACCCAGGGCTTTTCGGCAGCATTTAGCAGTTTTTCTGTAGGTGTGAGTGATTTCTCGGCGACATTGAGAAAGTCAAAGAGGGTTTCTTGTTGCGGAAGGGAGTTTTTGGGCAGGAATCCAAAGGGTACAAGAAGACGGACCATCACTGGAGGTAGACAATTGCAGGAAGGCGAACGGTCATCATTGGAAATTGTGGAATCATCAGGCAGGCAAAACGTCTTAGGCCAAAAAACAAGGAGTCACCAAAATCGAGGGGGCATGGGAAAACGAAAAGTCACCGGGAGGTGAATATTCATGATGGTGTTGAGTTAGGATATGCAGCAGGCACTGAATTTTTTAAAAGCTACAGTCGGCACTGATCCTTAAGAAAAGAAGCCGGTGCTGGGAGTTAGAGGCACAACCGACGTTATCCTTCGGAAGACACAGTCGGCGCTGTCATTAGAAAAGTCAACTGGCTCTGCGAGTTACAGCACGGCCGGAGCTAGCCTTTGGAGGACACAACCGACGTTGGCCTCAGGCAACATTTATCAGTGCATGGTGGGCACGATGACGTGCACGGTGTTGCTCGCATGCGGCAGTGAGTGGGGGTTGTTGAGCATAGCGATGGGTTATGTGTGGTGGTGTTCACGCACGGCGCTAACTTGGGTAGGAAAAGGGTGGTGACCAGTAGTAAGGCCTGTCTTATGATGCCCGTTGGAAGCCAAGTCCTCCAGCATAATAGTGAAGTCG